TTATTGGTGCCTTAGTTGAGGCATAATTTGCAAATATATTCTCCCATTCTTGAGGGTTGTCTCTTCACTGTAACTATTGTTCTTTTTGCTTTGCAGAAGCTTTTTCTCCTGATGTAGTCCTGCTTCTCTGTTTTTGGGATTATTGCCTGTACTTTGGGGGCCTTATTTAAGAAATCTTTGCCTACGCTAGTGTCTAGGATCTCCAAGAGTTTCCTTTGTGTTTTCCACCAGTGGTTTTATAGTTTAAGATTTTGTTTTCAGATCTATTTTTAGTTGATTTCTGTTAAAGGTGAGAGATAGAGGTCCAGTTTCATTTTTCTGCAGATGGATATCCAATTTTTCCAGCATCATTTGCTGAAAACCCCCATTGTGCCTTTTGTCAAAACTTAGCTGGCTTCATGATACAGGGTATTACTACCATATGACCCAGCAATTCCACTCCTGCATATCCACATTTACTGCAGCATTTTTCACAATTGCTAAGACATGGAATCAACCCAAATGTCCAAGAACAGTTGACTAGATTGAAAAAATATGGCATATATACTATGGAACACTACTCAGTCATAAAAAACAATGAGACCGTGACATGTGATAGAAAGTGGATAAATGTGGAAGATTTAATGAGAAGTGAAGCAAGTCAGACCATGAGAGCCTTTGTATGTCCCTGCTTAATAGCTACCAAATGTCTGCACTCTATGGCAGAAACTGAAAAATTGGAAGGTACAACAGCAAGAAGGGCAACTGTAAATACCACAGGCAGTAGAGGAGGGGTAGGATAACAGGAGGTGAGAAGGAGAGATTCAGTAGAAATAGAAACATTTAACATACACAAAAATGAAAAGTTGGGACCAGCAGTTAGCATAATGGCTATGTCGCTGGACTCCCATGTAGTCGACCGCAGTTCGGGTCCCAGACCCAGTTGCTGGGACTCACGCCGGGCACATGTGCATACGTGCATGCCCAAGATCCCGAGAAGAGAATGGAGGAGAAGGGATTGCGGCGTGGCCATCCACCCTGGGGGGTGATTTCTCGCTTTCTGTCTCTCTGTCTCTCTCTGTCTGTTTGTCGAGCGTACACGCCCTATAGCAAATACCTCTCCAAAAAAAGAAAAAAAAATGAAAAGTTATCTGTTTGGTGATAATGTTTATGATAGTATCTTCAACTTGACTGATGTGCACTGCATTCATGCTGGTAAAAAACATTTTGTACACTGCTGATATAGAGTGATTAAATGTAAATTTTTAAAATTAAAAAACAAAAATTACAAGGACCAGCAGTTAGTGTAATGGCTATGTCACTGGACTCCCATGTAGTCAACCGTGGTTCAAGACCTGGATGTGGCGTCTTAAACTCATGCCGGGTGCATGTGCGTGATGCCCAAGATCCCAAGAAAATAGAAGAGAAGGAATTGTGGCGTGGCCATTCCCCCTGGGGGGTAATTTCTCGCTTTCTGTCTCTCTGTCTCTGTCTTTCTAGCAAGCGCATGCGCCCTATAGCAAAAACCTCTCCAATAAATAAATAAATAACAAATATACTGAAAGCTGGGATAGCTGGCCGGGTGGTTAAAGAAACTGGATCCCACATGACCAACTACACCATTTAAGTCCCCAATACAACTCCTTGAAAAACACAGCAGTGGCAATGTGCCACTGTGCCCCAAATCTTGAAGAAAGAGGGGAAAACAGAAAAGAAGGGATTGTTTGTTATGTGACCATTCCCCATGGTAGGAGAGAGATGCTTTCTCCCTCTCCTTTTCTTTCTGGCATACCGTTTGATACTTTGTTTTACCAGTCTTCAAAAGTTGGTGGTCCTTGATTGGAGATGAAGTTTTATATACATTCACTGTATTGTCTTTATTTTCAAAATCTGAAATTCTACCATTACAGTGCCATTCTTTGTAATGATACATTTTTTTTCATTGTTTGTGTATAAAATTCCAAACTGTTCATTGTTGGCATATAAAAATCCAAATAACATTAAAACAAAATATTAAAAACAAATTTTAAAAAGAAAGAAATGTCTGTTGAAAATCAGAGAGAAATTGTACTTAAGAAAAATAAATCCAAGAATTTTTTTTTAAAGGTTTTTGCTACAGGGCACATGCGCTCGCCACAAAGACAGACAGAGACAGAGAGACAGAAAGTGAGAAATCACCCCCCAGGGGGGATGGCCACACAGCAATCCCTTCTCCTCCATTCTCCTCTCAGGATCTTGGGCACGCACGCACACACGCCCGGCGTAAGTTTAAGACGCCAGGTCCGGGACTCGGACTGCAGTCGACTACATGGAAGTCCAGCGATACAGCCATTACACTAACTGCTGGTCCTCCAAGAATGTTTGAAGCAAAATACAATCCAAAAGAAGCATCAATCACTATGACCCTTATACTTAATAAAATGTCTGCATGACTTGCTCCCTTAGGTCCTTCAGGTCTCTACAAAAATCCAATTTTAATAGAAAGGTCTAACAGTCATTTTAACAAACACTCTCATGCCCCTTACTTTCTATCCTTATGTCCTGCTTAATATTTATTTATAACTTTTATTAATGTAAGAACACACTTGTTTAACAGCCTCTCCACCACTGGAATGTAAACTCCAGAAGAGCAGGGCTTTTTCTTGTTTTCTGTATCTTCAGAGCCTAGGACAATGCCTGACCCATAACTGGCACTCAATATTTCTTGGATAAACAAATGAATATAACCAAGGGATGTGAATTACATCTGGGTGCAAACACTATAAAGGACTTCTGTGAGAAGAGGGAGAGCATTCTTTTTTGTGTGTGTGCAGAGAGGTTTTCACTGTAGGGCACGTGCACTCGCAAGAAAGACAGAGAAAGACAGACAGAAAGTGAGAAATCACCCCCTAGGGGGATAGCCATGCCGCAATCCCTTCTCCTCCATTCTCCTCTTGGGATCTTGGGCACGCACGCACATGCACCCAGTGTGAGTTTAAGCCATCGGGTCCGGGACTCAAACTACAGTCGACTACGTGGGAGTCCAATGACATAGCCATTACTCCAACTGCTGGTCCCGAAAGAGAGTATTCTTAAACATATTTCATTTCCGACATTTCACTAAATTGCAATCAACTTGTAATTGGAAGATTTTATCAGAAAAGTATCTGAGCTTAAAGGAGTAGACAAAAAATACACTAATGAGGGGTCGTCCCTCTTCTCTATATTTTGGTTATCTGGCAACAAGGAGGCTGGCACTTCCCCTGATTCAACTTCCCCCATGTACCTGGTCTCTCTCTCCAGCTCTTACTGGATGTTCCTTCAGCAAGGAAGAGGGACTAATCCAATAAATAAGTTTAATTTTCATTAGTCCACTTTGTATTTAAGAAAGAGATTGCAGAGGTAAGATGGCCCATGTTCTTGCCAGCCACTTGTCTTTTTTTTTCCTTTTTTCAAGGTTTCTTTCTTTCTTCCATTAGCAAGACAGAGAGAGAGAGCATGCCTAAAAGGGTCCCAACACTGTGATCCAACCCCCAGACTTCAGCCAGTCCCAGATCATGTATGCATGTATACCCAGCATACTCGGGAATGTCTCCCTTATGTAACACTACCTCATAGGGAGTCCTGGTTTACCACTACACCACCATCTAACTCTTTTTTTTTTTTTTTTCTATTTTAAGTAGACCTACCAGGTCTTGACTCTCTCAGTACCACCTCTGATTGGCTGTGATGACGCAAGTCTACAGGCCTTATTTATGCTTCACTTTGGGTGAGGGGTCTAACAATGTGCTTTGCAAATCAAAGTCTCTTCAAGCAGCCACAGTAGATTCAAGATGGGAAGTTTCAGGTTGAAGCCATGTTCTCCAATATAGCTTTTACCTAAGAACTGTGAACAAAGGGTTATAGGATATTTTACACAGACTAATAAAAGTCATCCAATGTCCCATATGGACAGTAGTCACTGAATTTATATTAAATTCAAAGCCAAAATGCCAGAAGAGCTCTAAACATCTACCTCAAGAAAAATATTAAAGACAAAACATAAAAATAACATAATACGCCACTGGTGCTAAATAATTTACTTTAATAAATTTGTCTTTAATCCAAGTATAAAAACAAGATTCTTACTATTCCAACTACAGTTAAACCCAAACTTCAAAACTAGTCGAAAATTAACATGTCAATTTTGAAACATTTTTAACTATAAGGATATCAAATATAAAACAGAACTATTAAGTATTTAATACTTCCTATCTTAATACTAAAAATAAACTTCCTACCATTCAAAAGTTATCAAAAGGGTCCCCAAAATTTTAAACAAGTACAGTAAATGCTGGTATTTATATTTGTTAAAAATTTTTAAAAACAAATTATTGTGATTTGAGTACTTCCAAGACACCCAAAAATACCTGATACAGGTAGTGGGTATCATGGTCTTGGTAAAAGAAATCATGTCACAATTTTAAATGTTGTGAATGGATTTTTAAACCACAAATTAAAACAAGATAACTTTTAAGGCTTTTCTGGTTTTTTATTTTGCCAAAAAGGAACCAGATTTAATGTCATCACTCTTCACTGAAATAGACTACTGTAGGAGGGTATGGTTTTTCTATTTTTTCATGGCTAGTTGTTTACTACTGAATGTCTAAGGGCAATTCTCATTCAAGCTCAGCATTTTTACATGAAGATCATCAGTTTTCATTTAAAATAAATAATATAATGTACATGTAAATTAAAATATAACCATATGCAAACTAGTAAGAGACATTCTAATTAGAAAACTGAAAAAGTGGCCACTAGAAAGAAGACATACAGGAAAAAAAAAAATTTTTTAAGATTTTGCCATAAGGTCCATGTGCTTGCCAAAGAGAGACAGGAAAAGGCACAGAGAGAGGGAAAGTGAGAAATCACTCCCCAGGGGATTTGGCCACACTGCACTCCCTTCTCCTCTCTTCTCCTCTCAGGATTTTGGGCACACAAGCACATGCACCCAGCATGATTTTCAAGTCGCCAGGTCCAAGATTCAAACCATGGTCAACCATGTGGGAAAAGAGTCCAGCATCTTAACCACACCAACTGCTGGCCCCAGGAAAAATTATTTTAAACTGTGATAATACTTTTGTTGAACCCACTACCATCAATGTATTCAGACTAAATTCAGAAATAACATATGAAATGCTCAGAAGAATAACTTCTCCTATAGTTAAAACAAATGTGGTTTAAGGAGGAAAAATATAAGCTAATTTTCTAAATAAAGGAATAAAATATAATAAAATTTCAGGTATTTTCTATTAAATGTGGGAAAACAATGCAATGTTTATATCTGAAATATTAACTATGGACTTATTTTCATTTATAACATAAAATGTTTCTAGATTACTTAACTCTTCTCAGTGTTCAAAATTAAATGTGTTTTCCATACTTAGCAACTATAATGGTAATGTGAAGTAGAAGATTAATTCCACTGAACTAAAACTTAAAAAGATTCAAATAAAAAATAAGTATGAAAATACCTAAAAATTTTTAAAGTTTTAAATTTTTGTTATTTTACAAAGATAGGCTTACTTTTCCTGACATTAAAAAAAGCAGCCTTCTTTTCTCTAAATAAAACTATTTGAATAATCACAACATATTCTTTTATATCAGAAAAACAAATTCACATGATACACTTACAACACTCAAGAATTACAATCCAGAAAAGGGTAGGATCCCTGAAACAAACAGAAAAAAAAAAAAAATGTCTTTCCTTTTGTCACCTCCATTCCTTATATATAATTTTTATTTCACATCATTTACATAAATATTATCACAATCTGACAAGTAGTTAAGAAAAATATTGTTGGCTTTCTAGAGCTCATCAAGTAAATTTACTCAGTCTTCTTAGAATGTTTCTTTTTAACATTATCTGAAGCATCAGCTACAGGTTTTGAGGCAGATGAACCAGTGCCATTATGGGATGATTTTGTTTCACTTTTCTTTTCACATGATGGAAACTGCTGCTGCCAGCCAAAGAGCATCCGACTCAACGCGTCCTCAAAAGGAGCAATAGTTATAGTAGATGTGTCTGTAATCATCATGGTTATCTGGAAAAAAAGGTTCAATTTAGAATGTAAGTATGAATGCTTTATATTTCTTAAAATGGACAGAAAAGTAAGTAAGATGGAAAAGGGGATTTGAAATGCATTCTTAATCTGTAGAAGTAAATTTAGCTATTATAGATTCTGGGAAGATCTATTTCTTTGAGGTTATAAAAAATAACACAACACATTAAAAATACTATAGGATACCATTTTTTGGTGTGCCAAATGAGCACTATAACCACTTCTACAAAAACGCATTTATTATCGTAAGAAATGAGATTTTTAAAAGTCATAATCTACACCAAATGACCAATACAGCTATCACTATATGTTCAACATGTGCCAGAACTGTGATAAGCACTTTAACATTATGATTCTCTTTAAATTTAATCCAACAAATACTATCTTATTACCTCATCACAGAGATGTAGAACTGAGACTCTGAGAGGTTAAGTAACTTGCCCAAAGTCACGAAGTCAGTAAGTGATAAGGCGGTTTGCAACACTTAGTTTTAGTTCAATTATTAAAAACACCAACTATCATAATCTAAAGTTGCAAACTTGTGAACTGCAGGATATTGCCCTAAAAAGGGACTGTTAAAAAGCCTTTCTTACCTAATTTTTTCCTTATAGATAATTATATGTTTATAAAGAATTAAGATATCAACAGATAAAGAATGCCTCCAATCCTCTACCTGACAAAAATTTTCAGTTTTCAGAGATAATTAGATTTTCTTGAGAAATTAGGCTGGGGCCAAAATGAATTGCGGGCAGAACTTTAAGGTCTAGAATAGCTTCCAAAAGTCCAGAAATTTCCAAGAATCAATTCCTCCAGATCACAGATAATGAATCAAACTAAAAGAAAAAAATTTTAAGAATCATTTTATTTAACTTTATTTATTTGTTTATTTTAATTCTAACCAGAGAGGGAATGAGTCAGAGAGTGAGAAAGAGGGAAAATGAGAAAGAAAACCGCCAGGTCCAGGACTTGAACCACGGTCGGCCATGTAGGAATCCAGCTCCCTTAACCACCATGTCACCTGCTGGCCCCCAAACTAAAAATTTCTTAAATCAAATTTCTAATGAAGGGGGTCAGTAGGTGGCATGGTGGTTGGGGACGCTGGACTCCCACATGGCCGACCACAGTTTGAGTCCCAGACCTGGCGGCTTGCTTTCTCCTCTCTCTCTCTCACTCTATCCCTCTCTTGTCAAATTAACATAAATGGATACAGTTTTAAAAAAATTTTCTAACAAAGGACACCACATGACCCACTTGCTTGGAAATAATGGATTTAAGAATAAATTCTTATTGGGAACCAGCAGTTTGCCTAATGGCTATGTCACTGGACTCCTGCATAGTAAACCGCGGTTCGAGTCCCAGACCCGGTGCCTTAACTCATACCAGGTGCGTGTGCGTGCGTGCCCAAGATCCCGAGAGGAGAATGGAGAAGGGATTGCGGCGTGACCATCCCCCCTGGGGGGTGATTTCTCGCTTTCTGTCTCTCTGTCTCTCTCTGTCTGTCTGGCCAGCGCACGCGCCCTATAGCGAAAAAATCTCTCAAAAATAAAAAAAGAATAAATTCTTATTAACTGCAACATAGTCTAAGAAGTAGAGTTGTGGAGCAAGTCCATCACAAGAGGAATAGGTAAATGAAATGCATATTATACAACAGTTAAAAGTAATGAACAAAAAACAACAGGAAAACGTCTTAGAACATACTGTTAAGTGAAAATGAGACACGACGCAAGAACTATACTATAGTGTTTACTATACTATTTACTATATACACATTAAAAATGCATTCACACAACTTTGTTAACATATTAAATGCCACTCAAATGTTCATCTTGAATTAGCTAATTTTGTTTTGTGAATCCGATCTCAATAAAAATAAAAAACAAAAATTTTAAATGCATGACTAAAGATTAAAAACAAAATTTTAAAATGCATGCACATAATAACTGTAGCCTAGTCGTTAAGGAAGCTGGATCCCACATGGCTGACTATGGTTCGAATCCCAACCCTAGTGGCTTAACACACTGGACACATGTACGTGAGCACCCAAACTGCTGAAAAGAAACAGAGAAGGGAATGAGGCCTGACCCTGCTTCATCAAGGGAGTGCTTTATTGTTCTCATTCTCTCTCTCTCTTATACTCTGATGATTTAAAAAATTACATGAATGAAATGTACATGAATTTCAGGTCATTCATGACTAAATACCTTTTATATGTCTTAGTCTCTCAATATCAATATAAAAGACAGAAATACATAAAAATAACTGCTAAAAGGCACCAAAGAACAATCAATACAGGCAGAACCTGATGCGGCTATTATCCCTGAGACAAAGCAAGCAGAAAAAAGTGAGCTTCACATTCACTCTGGTTTGTTTTGTTTTTTGTTTTATTTTTAAGGGTATGTGCCAATTCATAGCCACAGGAGACAGAAAACAGAAGTCCCAACAGGCTAAGAGGCCAAAGCATTCAGTGTACTTGAGGACAATGAAGCCCAAAGAGGAGGGATTCAATGGAAGTGAGCCCAAAAATCCATGTGTAATCTGTCCCTAAATTGTGCACACATTAGAAGGAAGAGAACTCAAAAGTCTAGCAGAGAGTAACAGCTGGGAGGCCAAAGCACTGAGTAGACATCTGAGCAGTCAACAGCTTGAGGCTAAGAAGACAAGTTGGAAATAAAGGTCAGCCAAGGTGGAAATGCCCAAGGATACACTTCAGGCTTAAGAGACCCCAAATGGTTGAGTTCTAGAAAGGCAAACCTGAAACAGAACTGCACTAACAAAGTTTAAAATGAACTATCAACAGGATTAAAATAATCTGCTTACACATTATACCTAGCTGCCAGAAAAATGCTGAATATAGTCCCAGCCCTCAAGAACTTTACAGACCAGTCAGAGGCAGGCAAATAAATCAGTAAACAGTAAAGAGTAAGTACAGTAATAGAGGTTTTCTCAGAACCATTTAAGTAAGAAATGTAAATTTGTAAGTCATTACTATCTAAGTATAAAAGGTAATGGTGAGGAACCAGCAGTTGGCATAATGGCTATGTCAAAGGACTCCCATGTAGTCAACCACGGCTCAGACCCCGGACCTAGTGGCTTAAACTCACAAATGGAATATGTGCGTGCATGCCCAAGATCCCAAGAGGACAATGGAGAAGAGATTGCAGCATGCCATCCCCCCTGGGGGGGGGGGTGATTTTTCACTTTCTGTCTGTCTCTGTCTCTTTCTGGTGAGTGTCCGCACCATCCCTATAGCAAAAAAACTCTCAAAAAAAAAAAAAAAAAAAAGACCTAGTGGCTTGCTTTCTCCCTTTCTCACTCTCACTCTCTTTTTCTGGTCAATTTAAAAAATAAGAATAAATAAATAAAATAAAAATAAAAGTAAAGACAGGCCAACAGAGGATACAGAGGTTAAGGCAGTTAGATCCCACATGGTCAACTATGCTGTTTAAATCTCAGACTCAGCAGCTTGAAAAACACAGCAAGCACATGTGCGTGCATGCCCAAAACACCAAGAGGAGAATGGACTGCAGCATACAATCCTTCTCTCTCTTTCAAGTACATGAGCCAGATAGTGCAGGGAGGGGGGAGGGGAAAGCACATGAGTATGAATGCGGTAACTTGGAGAGAATATAAAATGATAGGAGTCCAATGTTAATCTCCAAGTTTAGGTCATTACTGGGTATGATCTAAAAACATTCCTGCATTAAATTATTCTTTAGGGGGCCAGCAGTTGGTGTGGTGGCTAAGACACCAGACTCCCACATGGGTGACCACAGTTCAAGTCCTGGACCCAGCAGTTTGAAACTCATGCCAGGTATGTGTGCATGCCTGCCCAAAACTCCAAGAGGAGAATGGAGGAGAAGGAATTCTAGCATGGCCATCTCCTTGTAGAAGGTGATTTCTCACTTTCCCTCTCTGTGTCTCTCTCTCTCCGGTGAGCTATGGTAAAAAAATAAATAAATAAAATAAATAAAATAAAAAATAAACAAAAATACTAATTCTTTAGAATTAGAAACACTGAGGGACCAACAGATGGCATAATGATTACATCATTGAACTTCCATGTAGTCAATCACAATTCAAGTCCCAGACCCTGCAGCTTAAACTCACGCTGGGCATGTGTGCACGCATGCCCATCCTGAGAGGAGAATGGGAAAGAAGGGATTGCGGCATGGCCATTATCCTAGAGGGGGTGGCTTCTTACTTTCTGTCTCTCTGTCTGTCTCTGTCTCTCTGATGAATGCACATGCCCTACAGCAAAAATGGTTCTCTTAAAAAAAAATTACAAACAATGAGATATACTAACATAGTTATCTTGGCCATATAGCTTAAATTAATGGACTGCTAATAAAAAAAGAATTCAGACCAAAAACAATGGTCCACTGTCAGGAAAACAGCAATGACTTTTTACAAAATCCAAGAGAAAAGTGTCAAGGTTTAAATTATTTCCTGAGAACATGAACTATAATAAGTATTTTTCAAAGTCGAATGTTTTAATAGAATCTCCACTCCCAACAGACTCATCACTCAGCTAAGAAGTATTGCTGGCATCAGAAATTACTGCTGAGATAGACTTACAAGGTTCAAGGGCAGATTTTTGTGAATTCAGCCTCTTATGAGGCCTTGATTTAGCAAGGTGACAGAAATATAATTGTGACAAATAGAAAAAAATCCTTATTCTTTACAAATAAAATATAAAATTGTCTCCTTATATAGCAAAATATTGAAAGAAAAAGCATACTTCCTAAATTAAATAACGTTTGTTTTCATGGTCTCTTGCTTAAGAAGGAAGCAAAAGAAAAGTAGAAGCACTAAGATAACTGGTATTTTTCAGCATATCCTAAAATACAAGTTAATTCGGATAAATTCATTGTTTACAACATTGTCACATTCTTTTTTTTTTTTTTTTTTTTTTTAGTTTTTGCTATAAGGTGTGTGTAGTCACTGGTGAGAGACACAGAAAGAGAAGGAAAGGAGAAATCACA